TAGGGTGAATAGTTGAATACTTTTTCCCACTACAGACCCTTTATGACTAAAACTTTGCTTAAGGAGAAGACTGCCACCTCAGTAGTTCAGCCTAGTTGCTAGAAGATGTTTTCCCTGAATGTACTTTGAGTCAGAAATTCCCACGCTGTTCTGCTGATGTAACGCCAAATTATTCCATGTTAAATGTGTCAGAGTTTGGTTGAGGTTTGAGGACCCCAAGGAAAAAATTCCTCGGGGCATCCAGACTGGGCTCTGCAGGGTCCATTTTGGGTGGTTCCTTCTGTCAGAGTTTGGTTGAGGTTTGAGGACCCAAATGCAGAGGCAGAGAGGCTGAGGTGATTTCTTGCAGTTTAATTTGTGAAAACAGTAAACAAAGGCAGGAATTTAAAAATCCAACGTAAAAATGCAAAACAAACCAGAACCATGGAGACATCAGGGGAAACCGAACACGAGGAGCCAGGGAAAGACGAGGTAGGAAGATACCAGCAATGAGAAACCAGCAATGACAAGGAACCAGCAAAGAGTGACAGCAGAGGGAGAGTATACAGTATATGGCTGACTGAACAAAGGCAGGGCTAACGAGCTGATAAGGAGCAGGTGTGTGTGAAGAGCAGTCTAGGAAGTAACTAGGGAAAGGAGACCAACACAAGAGGGCAACAAATAAAAACCAAAGAAGTCATATATACAGAAAATACAACAAAATATGAATTAAACAAATAAAACAATAAAACATGGAGCAAAGTAAAGCATAACAGATCTAAGACCATGACAAAATGTTTAGTAACAATCACAGCATTATATTCAGTAAGGATTATGTGAGTACTAAAAATGACCAGCATGAAGCTCAAGCTCAGATCCCAAGTCTCCCGCAAGTTCCGGGAGTCTCCCTGATATCGATAGTTGTTCACGGATGCCCGCAAGTCGGATAAATTATCCCGGATTTTAGACTATGGGANGTCCGTTTCCGACAATTTGTGGCACGACAAACGCGGACAAGCACGGGTTGCAAATTGTCGGAAACTGACGAAAATCAGGCAGATCTGCGGGAGTTTACGGGGGTTTACGGGGACGAAAATCTCACTTTTCATGCAGTGAATACGTTCCACAATCCGGCATCTCAGGAGGGGGAAGCAGTGCAGTACCAACACTATTTATAGTGGGGGTGGTGTGCTGCTGATCTTGACTCGGGACGTCGTATGTTACGGAAGTCTTTCTCCATGGCCAACCAGGTCTGACCTGCGTCCTCCCCCACAATCTGAGCCAAGTCACCACCAGGCAGTGGTCGGTGGAGAGCTCCAACCCACTCTTCACCCAAGTGTCCAAGACGTGCAGCCGCAGATCAGATGAAACAACAGCAAAGTCAATCATTGAACTATGGCCTAGGGTGTCCTGGTGCCACATATGGACACCATTATGCTTGAACATGGTGTTCATTATGGACAATCCATGATGAGCAAAGAAGTCCAAGAACAGAACACCACTCAAGTTCAGGTCAGGTGGGCAATTCCTTCCAACCACGCCTCCCCAGGACTTACTTTCATTGCCCACATGAGCATTGAAGTCCCCCAGAAGAACAAGGGAGTCCCCAGGAGGGGCACTCTCCAGTCCCCCTGCTAAACACTCCAAAAAGGGTGCGTAATCTGAACTGTTGTTTGGCGCATAAGCACAAGTCAGAACCCATCCCCCCACACGTATGTGGAGGGAGGCAACCCTCTTGTTCACCGGGTTGAACCCCAATGTACAGGCACCAAGATGAGGGGCAACAAGTATACCCACTCCTGTTCAGTACCTATCTAAAAGGTGGAATGTAAACAGTTACCAAAGAACACTGGTAACCTCTTTGGGCAAATAGGATGTCCGAAAAACAACTTCCAACAGTTTAATATCTGGGCTGCAGCGATAAATCTTTAACATGTCCTGTATGACACTGTCTGTTGTTCACAAGGTCAGCCAACCCACCTCCCTTAAGTCTTCTAGCCTTCCTTTTCATCTTGCTTGTATGTTCAGAAAGTTTGGCAGAGAGAGAGAGAGAGAGAGACACTGGAGTCCAAGACATGATCTTGAGCCTGCTTTTTAGTAAAACATAATGCTGCATTGCTGATATACTGGCTGGAACCTTGCTATATTTTGGAGTCTTCTGACTTGTTGCTCAAGATCTCTAATTGCCCATAATGATTGATTGAAGAGATGGCTTACATTTTCTGTTCCTCTCTCTTCTCCTATTCTGCTCTAACTTCTTTCCTCAAGATCTCTCATTGCCAAAAATGATCCAAGAGAAGGCTTAAATTTCCTGTTCCTCTCTCTTTACCTTACTCTGCTTTGCAACCCCAGCCCCTGCTTTTCAAACTCAGCTGGTACTTGCGTAAGTATTATTTCAACTTTAGTGAAGTTAAAGAGACATTTTGTGAGTGTTTAATGAAAATGTCTTTACAATAGTCTTTTTATTTGATTTGTTGTCGGAAAATTTAGATTTCTCTTCTATGAAATATTCATTTATCCTATTTACTTACTATAAAAGTTTGCACTCTGTCTGTTTCACCTTCAAGGCCACAGAATTCTCAGCATGATGGTGTTTGTAGACCAGACATAGCTTCTTCCAATAATAAACCAGATTCTTCTTCAAGGTTTAATCGTAATATGTTATTGTTAACCAAAGTGTCTGTAATTTGTTTTAACTCTGACTACTTTCTATTGTTGTAAGTGAGGGGGAACGCACGCTGCTCAGGCAAAACAGGGCTGAATGCTGTGCCATAAGGGCTGTATGAATAAATATGCCAACTGAGTGAAAACCATTGATCTCCGTTTATTTAACTAGGGTGAATAGTTGAATACTTTTTCCCACTACAGACCCTTTATGACTAAAACTTTGCTTAAGGAGAAGACTGCCACCTCAGTAGTTCAGCCTAGTTGCTAGAAGATGTTTTCCCGGAATGTACTTTGAGTCAGAAATTCCTACGCTGTTCTGCTGATGTAACGCCAAATGATTCCATGTTAAATGTGTCAGAGTTTGGTTGAGGTTTGAGGACCCCAAGGAAAAAATTCCTCGGGGCATCCAGACTGGGCTCTGCAGGGTCCATTTTGGGTGGTTCCTTCTGTCAGAGTTTGGTTGAGGTTTGAGGACCCAAATGCAGAGGCAGAGAGGCTGAGGTGATTTCTTGCAGTTTAATTTGTGAAAACAGTAAACAAAGGCAGGAATTTAAAAATCCAACGTAAAAATGCAAAACAAACCAGAACCATGGAGACATCAGGGGAAACCGAACACGAGGAGCCAGGGAAAGACGAGGTAGGAAGATACCAGCAATGAGAAACCAGCAATGACAAGGAACCAGCAAAGAGTGACAGCAGAGGGAGAGTATACAGTATATGGCTGACTGAACAAAGGCAGGGCTAACGAGCTGATAAGGAGCAGGTGTGTGTGAAGAGCAGTCTAGGAAGTAACTAGGGAAAGGAGACCAACACAAGAGGGCAACAAATAAAAACCAAAGAAGTCATATATACAGAAAATACAACAAAATATGAATTAAACAAATAAAACAATAAAACATGGAGCAAAGTAAAGCATAACAGATCTAAGACCATGACAAAATGTTTAGTAACAATCACAGCATTATATTCAGTACGGATTTTGTGAGTACTTAAAAGTGACCAGCATGAAGCTCAAGCTCAGATCCCAAGTCTCCCGCAAGTTCCGGGAGTCTCCCTGATATCGATAGTTGTTCACGGATGCCCGCAAGTCGGATAAATTATCCCGGATTTTAGACTATGGGAGGTGGTGTTTTTTAATGTGAGTGAGAGCGAGCAGGTAATACAATAATTTGTGCATCATGTGTGGATTAGAACTACTGTGATTACGCAGACAACAAGAGAGAGTGGGATGTGAGGGGGAGGTTGCTTGTGAAACCTGTGAAAGCTGTGCAGCGTATCTGTCCACAGCGATGCTCTGTTCAACCAGCGTTCCAGGTGGCTGGTTTTCAGAGAGCGCGCTGATTGGATTAGTCTTAAAAATAAGTTTGGGGGGGTTGGATGATAATGTTCCGGAAATCAGTTTTGGAAATTGGGATGTCTGCAAGCTAGGAGAATGAGTAGAAGAGTGCTGCAGTTCTATACAGTTCCATGTTTTGGCCAAAAGTGGCTGTATCCTTAAAAACCACTGCAATCCTTCTTCATGAGCTGCTCTCTAGTGTTGAAAATCTAATGTGGTTTTTATGGTTATGGATCATAACAAGTGTCTAAAAAGAAAAAAAAAATCTGAAAAATTCTTCCAGTTTCACAGCAGGCAACAAAAGCAAGCTAGCAGAGCAAGTCCAGCATGCAGCCATTTTATGCAGCAGAATTCCATAATATAATTAGGTTTTATAAATGAGAACACTAAATATTTTCTTGTATTTTACATATACAGACAAGGGACTTCCTCTTCTCCCCTGCCTGCATTTTACATCTAACGAACATGTTTTCCATCAACGTGCAGTGCTGTTGTCTTTGGGATGGGCCGAATAAATCAAAGCTGCTCTCCTAAACACTCCCATTTGAAAACCAGTACAAATGGAATGTACATTTAAAAAAGGCTGTCTGCACCACTTTTGCAGTTCCTGTTAATTTTTTATGTATCTTAAGTAACCTACACCACATCTACTAAAAGATTGTGGAACTCTTTAGCTTACACATGCAATTTAGCTCTTAATATTGGGGATCGTATTAGATCAGCCCTGTGACAGCGTTAATGTTTTTACATGCGTAAGTTGAATGGATCATTTGAATTCTGGTTGTAAAGTAATACACAATATGAAAACTTCCCCTCTGTTAATGATTAGTGTAATGGGATTAATGACATACTGTAAGTGAAATATTTGGGTGAGTAACTTAATACAGAGCCCAACTCAAGGCACACTTTGATCCACAAAAACGTTTGTTTTAAGAGGCAAATTATATGCAATGTTTTGCAGACTACTTGTAATATTTTCTACTTAAACTTCTGTTTTGTTTTGTTTTTGTTTTTCCAGATACATCTTTGAGGATGAAGCCATAATGTCTCTTGAGAGGCATTCTTTTTACCACCTGTCCAAGGTTATTCATATGTAGGTCAGCTGTGGAGCAGGAACAACTTATCATATTCTGAAAAACAAATGTTATTAAGTTTGAAATACCCATATACTCTTATTTAACCCTAATCCACCAATCAAATTAATCAACATACACTAGACAAAACATTTGTTCTTCTTAACAGGATCATTACAAAAGAAAACAGTTGTTTGAGTATGTGTGTTTTTGTGTCTATGGACATGATGGTTGTGTCTATGTATCAAACAGAGAGCTAAATAGTATCAAAACACTGATGTACGTTGATCGAGAGGCTTTTATGGAACTTCCAAGCTTAAGATATCTGTAAGTGTTTATTTACATTTTCTGTATTTGCAAGTGTTATTTATTTATTTTTTTTACAGCATAAGAGATTCCTATTAATAACGTTGAAAAACAATTGATTTTATCCTTTCTCCATTAAAGCAGTCAGCAGTTATTGACTTGTTTGTGTTTCAATGCAGTGGGATCATCAACACAGGCCTAACATCATTTCCTATTGTTCAATACATTCACTCAAGACAAGAGAATGTCATTTTGTATGTATCCTAATTGAGTATGCAAACTGCAAAGTCGTTTATTAGCCAAGAAAATAACTCGTAGTGCTTTTTATTATTGAACATTTTTGTCTGATCATTTCATCTTTTTTTTTTAGGGAAATGGAGCAAAATCTCTTCATACGAGTCATTCCTGCCAATTCTTTCACTGGAATATCTAAGAATGCTTTAACACTGTAAGTTGGATTTAGCCTAATTCAGTGTGATTCTTCGTGATGAAATTTGGTAAAACAAATCTAAGATTATTTATTGTCCTAAAATGATAGGGAAAATCTCTAAACTAATGTAAGGGTATTTCTGTAAATTTTTTATTAAAATACTCAAAAGACTAATAAGAAAGAAATGTGGTCTTAAATAAAATAATGATTAATGGTCGTTATGCACAAAATATACCGAAGGCTGCCTTCTTCGCCTGAGGCTCCCGTCTCCGCCTGAATGTTACGGGCGTCGCCATGTTGATTTGCTTGATTCCCTCTATAGAGCAGTAGTACCATAGATCTATTAATAACTTTAAAACTAGTTAAGTTTATTTATATAGCGCCATTTAACAAACACATGTCATTGATTGCATCAAATCATTGATTCGAAGACAATCCCTCACATTAAGCATGCTTGTAGCGACAGTGGAGAAGAAAAACGACAACAATAATAATAATCATGTAATATTTTTTTCTTTTAAATTTTCAGTTCAAATTTTGGGCACCTATAACCACAGTATATATAACATCTGTTAGATTGTTTTTAACCACTTAAACCATTCAGCACTGTAAAGTTAGCAGCTGTTTTGGAGTAGGTATTGAGTATTTTCTTTGTCTCCCTCCTTTTTTTAGCATACTTCATGGCAATGGCCTGACAGAAATCCAGGACTATGCTTTCAATAGTACCCAGCTGGAGGAAGTGTGAGGCCTTTGAGTTACCTAAGCAAAAATAACGAGAACTAAAAGAAAAACACTGTTGAGCTTATTTCAGCAAATTATGATGCATGTTGAAGTCTTTTGTTCTATGTTTAATATTTAGCTCCCTGGTTTCTTCTACAGCACACTTAATGAACAATTTAAATTTCTTTTTTAATCAGCAAAAAAAATGATCAAAATGTTTTTATCCTTTCATTGTCATTCCAGATACCTTAACAGGAATATGGATTTGGAAAATATAGCCGAATTAGCATTCTCTGGGGTGATTCATGGCCCAACTCATTTGTAAGTCTATGAAACACACAAAATTGATTCAGTCTTGTGGTTAAATTATCTTTATGATGCCCTAAAAACATATGTGACAAGAAGGTCCAATAACAGACCAGTAACAGTCATTGAGAATTGGACCACTATACGAATTGGACTGGAAAAAGCCTGTATGTTGATTACAAAGAGGTGAACCAAAATGGCATACATGCATCACAGTGTTCAGGTGAAGTCATTCCCACTTGTTGTAAACAACACCCCTTGTTCTGCATTCACTGAGCATAATGTGGCATTAAGTGATGCATACCGATTCACTTGTTTGGTGTGAAAGGCAAAATCAGTAATGAAGGAATTGGGATGTATATTTATTGTGGGGGTGTGGTCTTGTGACTTGAAACTGACACTATATATGAAGCCATATATGACTTATAAGTAATAAACTGAACTGAACTTTTAATTTCCCATTGGGGTTGATTAAGTATTTTGAGATTGTGTTTCAACAGAACAAAACTGAGAGCTTAAGAATGAAAGTGTGCCAGGGCCCCAATCCCGTCCTGTTTCTCTGTGTGCCTGTATGTCCATCTATTTTTTTTTCTTCTATTTATACTTTAACTCTTCTCACATAGATAGTCTTTTTGATCAATGCTTTTGTCTTACTTATGCTCAAGTCAGTGGTAGACTGCTGTTTACACTGAGCCAGGTTTCTTTTTTTTTTTTGCGGTGATAGCCTTTCTACACAATTTGATTTTTACATTCTTACAAGACTATTCCATACGGAAACCTTGGTTAAGGGAAGAGACCAACTTGGGATGCTGACCAGTGGATCACATTTTTCTTTTAGAAACTCTTATACATTCTATAGGGATTAAGTGAACAGTAGTAGATTGTCAACAAGGGGGATGAGGTTGCTTGAGGACTGAAAAGCAGATATGAGTGAAAAATTGATGCGTTCTTGTAGATTTAATGTAAACTGAGGCAAACATCCAAAACACAAAAATACTGAGACAAAAAACCAGCAAACATCAGGGAAAACTCACATGGAGAGCCAGAGATGAGGAAGCAACTAACAATCAACAAGGAACCAGCACTGAAGAACTGAACAGGGAGAGTATATATGGGAGAAGGAACACAGACTGAAGTAATCAGAAGATATGGAGCAGGTGTGGATGGAAGTGACTAGAAGGGAGCTAGGAGAAAGGAGACAGTCACAAGGGGGCAACAGAGAGTAACTAAAGATTGTCTTAAATACAACACAAAACAGAAAATAAACCAAAGATCAAGAAAACAGAATTACTTAGATAGCGAAAACTAAAAAAAAAAAACTAAAAACTCAGACAAAAGTCCCAAAAAGGGGGAACCATGACATAGTTTGGTTTATATTGGTCTGACAGATTTCAGTGTTTCAGGGTTACATGTGGAGTGCCATATGGATTTCTATTGCTTTTAGACCAGTCTTTTAAAAAGAAGGTGATTAGAAAGTCACCCAATCTGGATGGCATTAAATTGGTCTTGATGTTATCTAATACTGGGCTTCAGTCCAGTATTAAAGGGGATTCCGGATTTTTTTTTTTTTCACCTAGGAATATTACAAAAATTAGAAATATCTACTCCAGGGATGATGGTGAGAAACTAGAAGATATGTGTAAGATATTTCAAAGGAGGACTGATATAATTCTTTACTATCAGGAAGTCCACAAACTGTAGTTATGAGTCTTAAGAAGATTCAAAATGCTAAATCCAGATTTGAGCTTCCCTTTATTGACCGGCTGTTAAACCCAATATAGAACTTCAAATCCTCCTTACGTATTAACTTCTAAATAAACAGGTTCCATCTTATATTTGATCTGATTGTTCCTCATGTTCTTAAAAGAGCACATTACCCTCGATCTTCAGGCTTTCAAGTGGTTCCTTAAACTTCTAAAGTTAGAATAGGAGGCAGTTTTTTTTATTATCTGGCTCCTCTCCTGTGTAACCTACTACCAGTTTTAATCATTTAGGAAAACAGCCTGTCTACTTTTAAGGCGAGGCTTAAAACTTTCCTTTTTGATTAATATTATTGTTAGAGTGGTTCAGGTTATCCTGAGTTACCTCTAAATTTATGCTGCTATAGGCTTAGACTGCTGGAGGACATAGGTACTCAGTGATCATTCTGCTTCATTTTACTTTTATTATCAAAGTCTCCTGTATTTGTTAGTTTAACCCCTGACTTTATGTTCTCTCAGTTTTTTCTTTTTGTCATAGTAGTATTAACTGTTTTGTCCTCTGATAATACAGTTGGCCCTGTGTTTCGTTGTTTTGGCAAGTTTCTTAGCTCTGGGTTTGGCTTTTACTGTGACTAATTCTATGTGCCCTCTCTCCTTCCATTTGTTGTGAAAACTGGCTCAGAGCCCATCTACTTAACTGTTTCTTTTATTGACATCAGCCAATGCAGGCTTTTATTATAAGATGCTACTACTTTCCAGATATTGAAAAGATTCTGAGGAAGCAATGACAATGCGGCAACTAAAAACAAGAGAAGAAGATACGGTCCATGATTTGCAGATTTCACCCAGGCTGTCTCCAGGCAGCACTCAGTCTTCACAGACTGCATGCAACTTTTCGAACTAACGCTAAGGCATCCATCTTGGGCTTTGGTACCCTGCAGATCCTATGATAATTGAAAGATGGGTCAAGGTAGCTTCACAGATTCTATCAAGTTTAAAGCTTTTATGCTGGAAAAGCTGGGCCCCATAGTCCACCAATGTACGTCTGGTGAGATCCCATCCACCACTCTACTTATATACCGTTTATGAATGAAACATGCAACAAGAAAATTGACTCCCAGTGGCTTGAACTAGAATGACTACTGTTTCCCTCAGCTACATCTTGTACGCAAAGCTCTTTGTAAACAAAAAGGCTGTCTTTATCCATTTTCTAGTTTTCCTCATAGTTTTTTCCTCCTCAAGTCCTGTTTGATTTGATTAGTGTTTTTAGACTTAATACTGTTTCTAAACTGAAGGTTGCAATGATCAGGTCTTTGTTTCCTTCCATCTCTTTAAACTTATACATGACTTCTTTACAAGCAGTCAGTGTCATTTTTCTTTGGACTCAGAACTTATGTTTACCTGAATAAACAATGTTATAGCATTAACTTTTGTTGATGACTTGATCACCTTATTAATGGCTCTGGTTATAGTTTTGAATGACGAGGCAAGTTAGTTAGTAGAGAATAGTTTGGAAGTTTGATGAAAAAATTTTTATAACATGATTGCCAATAATCTTATTGATTGGTTCTCTGTTTACTTTTCAGTTATTTGTTTAAAGGTATTGTCATTTGTAGTTTTAAGTTTGTCCATATATCGGTACATTCCTTCACCCCTTCTAATCCCCTATATTCTCAAGCTGTACAGTGAGGAATTATAACATATGCCCGCCATATATTGACCTATGATAATCCCAAATCCCAACTGAACTCACTTTTTCTTTCTGATCATTTGATAAATGGCAACATAAAACATCAAAGATAGAAAGGGTGCTGTCACAAGAATCAGAAGCTGGAATGTCTGTGGTCTCAATAATTTAATAAAGCGCAACCTGTCACCTGTCAAAACTGAAGGCTAAACTAGCTTTCATGCTTTGACCAGTTTAAGCTTTGCTGGTGTTTCATTCAGATTTCAACAGTAAAAGTCATGATGTGGCTTTTCTTCTCCATAGAAATGTAATCAATCAAACTGATTAGAGTTGATTACATTAGATTAGATGGGGGAGTGGCAGCCTAGTGGTTAGGGCATAGGGCTGGGAATCCTGAAGTTGTGAGTTTGAAACTCACTCCCACAGACTGCTAATTGGGGTCTGGAACCCCACACTGCTCCCTGGGCTCCGCACACTGGCAGCCCACTGCTCCCCAAGGGGAAGGGTCAAATGCAGAGAGTGAATTTTGTTGCGCTGTACTTGTGACAGTTTAATGACGATAAAAATGCTGAAAAAAAAAGACTTGATCTGATATTACCACATTTAATCATCTGAAACATGGTAAGGAGACAAAAGCTAAAATACACATATATAACGACAAAATAATTTGAATAACACATAAAGAATTCTTTCATAAGATCTTTGAAATTTATTGTAACTAAATGAAAGCCTTGTGATTTAATGTGTGTTTTGTTTTTTTCTGTCCCTCCAGAGACCTTTCAGAAACCAAAGTACATTCTTTGCCTTCATTAGGCATGACCAGCATTGAAAGGCTTCAAATTAGCAAAACGTGGGAACTCAAAGCTCTTCCTCCTTTGAGTGCCTTTCTTCATTTGCAGAATGCCCATGTGACCTATGCAAGCCACTGCTGTGGTCTTAGAATGCTTGAAAGATGGAGGAGGTAAGAAAACAATCGAGTGCTTGAAAAAATCCCCATGTCTTTTGCATTCCAACCAACTCCAGTGCTCACAATAGAACAAATTACTGTAAAAAAAAAAAAAGAAAAAAAAGAAGCTACATTATCAGAATTAACATCATATATAAAATGCTTGTCTATTTTTAATAGAATATCTTCAACTGCTTTATCATTCTTTTTTTTATTATTATTTTGCTATATTCCATGGCAATATTCATTTCACCAAACCTATTGTTTACTGGAAAAACTTAGAAAAAAATGACTTTGACTGCAGTTAAAACTTAATTGGGTTTAAAAAGTGGTGGTGATCAAATATGGTTGAAGAGCGGTGTTGTGATTTTATGTTCTATTCAATTCCCAGCCAGCTGGGAATTTATATTTCTGATACTTTAAGATGTCTATTGCCCTCCCCTGTAGAGGTGTTAAAATATCTTATTTAATCAGATATTATTTCAGCTGTTATATATTGTTTATGACACACAGTCCTACTAACTGTGTGTTAGAAAAATAGATGAAAGAGTGATTCGAGCTCTCATCATGGTCAAACTGTTAATTCTGCACATGTAATAAATTCACCACAACTTCTGTTCAAAATATAAGAGTTTATTAATTAAAAAAAATATATTGAGCTCCAAGTCAAACATATTTCAGTTTAACACTCTCAACTAAGACTAGTGAAATTCAACTAAACTAAACTACTATGTATAAAGAGGAAGGGAAACATGGTTGAAAACCATATTACAGTTTAAGATGGGTTTTAATTTTGAAAACCAAAGCTTTTCACTAATTTAGATAAATTGGAATGTTTTTAGACCAATTCACAATGCAAATCCATGAGGTGAATAAAACATTATTTGGCCAAATAATGTTTTATTTAATGATTTGCTCAATCAAGAACCAATAAACTTTAGTCAAATGATTCTTTAACCTCTTTGAAATAGCTAGCAGCGAATAGACATCAGGATTTCACTAAATGATTCTTGGTCAGACTTGGTAATGGAAATGTAATGAGCATATGAGGAACACATGAACACTAATGTTATATCAGTGTTTAACCCTTAGTGAATAAAGCTTGTCCAAGCTTCAACAACAGCTCAACACGTTACTGTAGCATAGCAAAGCATGCAGTCCATCCTGTTAGCTTGCCTCCACCCATCAGTAAACACATGAAATGATCAAAATCATCAAAAGACATATTGTTTGTTCTGGCCCTAATTGTGCCAGACCTGCAAACCTTTTTGTACATTTCCATTTGGAAGGCTTGAGTTTCATCCAACTGCAGCTCAGCAGTCATGGCAGGCTCTCTTTTGTCTCAGTTGTTGATCAAGGCAGGCTTCTCATCCAGCCTGACTCTATAAGTTCTGAAACTCAAGAAAAATGTGCTGCAAAAGGTCTGTTTTGCTTGGAGAGATCTTATAGCTGGTTATTCACCAAAACCTTTATTTTCCTCTGTGGTCATTATGTCAAGATGAAATATGGACACTGGTTCCCAATGTCCAAAAACCATGATCATGGCATATTAAATAATTAAATTTGCACATTTATAAAAACAACTGATTGTGTGAGAGATTTCTCAATTTCTTTGTTTGAAAGGTTTCACTTTCCCTAAATCACTTGTTTCACCTCTTTTATATGACCCATCTATATTAAGTTGTCTAGCATCTCTTCACCAATTTAAGTCTGTATCTCAAGTTTGAACAGCTTCATTGATCATATGAAACCTTTTGGTTCTCCTTGTAATCTTATTCCCTTTCACCTTTTTAAAAATGTTTTTATTACCATTGGACCAGAGCTTTTGGCTATTGTAAATAGTAATATTGGTATCAGGGTTCGTACCCCTTTTCCAAAGTGAAAATCAAGCACTTTTCAAGCACTTTCAAGATCCATTTTAAAAACTTTTTCCAGCACCTTACGGAACCAGTTTTGCGCGGATGACGGCCGGGGGGTTGGGGGTCGAAATGAATACATAAAACTAAATCCTATCTTCATTTGTCAGAGCACACGAGGCAGATATTTATTTTATATTATCAGTTTTCTGATGATCAAAGAAAATGACTCCTCTGCCATGGTGTTGTAATATAAACAGCCAGAGGGTGTCGCAATTCAGTATTATCAGCCGTACAGTTTTAAGGTAAGGGCCTGGCAATGAATTAAAACTTCAGGGTTTTTTTGGGTTTTTTTTGGAACGTTGGCGAGGCGGTAGGGTGAGGCCGCCTCGCCAAGTTAGTGCTGCGGGAAACACTGCAATACATTATCACACCGTACTCTCAGTCACTATAACTTACCCTTCATGTGACTCGAGAGCGCAGACTCGCCCATTGTGAAAAGCTGCACATCTTTTTTGCAGACTTTACAAGATGCAACTTGTGGGGTTTGTCCCCGTTTAATCCATAATTTGTGTTTTTCATCTTCCAGCCAACATTCATTGAAACGACAACCTCCCGGCATGGTGCAGTAGTGGTTTCATGGGGGCGGAGTCACACATGGAAATAGACTGGCAGATCGCAGACACACATAAGCGAGCAGGTTTCATTTTCGGGCTCTCCAACATTTTATTTCTCCATTTAATAAACACACGATTCAGTTAGATAGGTATTTGTTGCGAAAGAAATAGTTACAATTTCAAGCATTTTCAAGCATTTCATCCAAAATATAAGCACTTTTCAAACCTTGAAAACACGTCAAAATTCAAGCATTTTCAAAGATTTCCAGCGCTCGTACAAACCCTGTGGTATGAATGTGGTCTGTAGGGCCCTAAACATGCTTTTATATAAGCTTTAATTAAAATGGCAGGCCTTAATTAATCTATTCCCCTCAAAGTTCCGACCTACCTATCTAAATACAATTTCAGTCAGGTTTTTAAAAGGATGAAATAAATCACAAAGTTTTGCAGTTCTAAAAACAAATTTACAAGTGGACACTTTAACAAAACTGACCAAAACTGAGAAATACTATGGTTGTTTTTGTCTAGCAGCTGATTTATATATGTTCACTGTATATTCATTTTGTGATTAATGTCTTTTTTAAATTAAATCACAGTTTTTCTTTTTCTTTTATGTCCTAAACACAGAGAGGCAAAATTCTGCAACCTAACTAGGGCTGCCCTTGCAAATCAGCAGGAATCCTTTGGCCTTTTGTCCGAGAAGCTTCTGGGAAATGGTCTTTTCCAGCGACAAAAAAACAGCTCATTGGTCCCAACTACCGGAGGACAACATTACAATATGAACAACCTTGGCGACGGGTGTCCAGACAAACAGGCTCAGGAGGAGGGCTCGTATGTGGTGGATTTATCTTCAGAGCAGTTTGGAGAGGAGTTTGACTTTGCTCTGTGTAATGATCTTTTCAGAGACAAAGGACCGTCATGCACACCTCTGCCTGATGCCCTGAATCCCTGTGAGGATGTAATGAGCCAAGGCTTCCTCAGGGTATTGGTCTGGGTGGTCAGTTTTGTAGCCATTTCAGCAAATTCGTTTGTGCTGTTCATCTTATTGACATCCCATCAGAAGCTGTCTGTCACCCGTTTCTTTTTGGGTCACCTAGCCTTTGCAGATGGGTGCATGGGTATGTATTTACTGTTTATTGCATTGGTTGATTTCTACACACACTCTCGTTATTACCAATATGCCATTTCCTGGCAAACGGGACGTGGCTGTAACTTGGCAGGGATTCTATCTGTGTTTTCTAGTGAGTTATCTGTGTACACATTAACTTCAATTAGCTTCCAACGCTGGCATGCAATCTTTAATGCCATGAGGCCAGACAGACAGATGAGGTTGCGGCATGCGGCCCTGCTTATGCTCTTAGGGTGGTTATTGTGTGGGACCATTGCTTCTTTGCCAGTACTTGGCGTAAACACCTACCAGAGAGTGAGCATTTGTTTACCTATGGACACTGAGACAGCTGTTGGGCAGTTTTATATTGTGTCTGTTTTAGTTATAAATGTAATGGCATTCATGGCAGTATGCTTATGCTACCTTCACATCTATTGTATGGTGCACAATCCCCAGCGTGACTCTAGCAGATATGACACCAGAATGGCCAAACGCATGGCTGTTCTTATTTTTACCAACTTTCTGTGTCTGGCTCCAATTTGTTTTTATGGTTTGTCTGCAGTGCTCCATCAACCACTTATGACCATCACAGATTCTAAGGTTTGCACTTTTCTCTGTAATATAATTCAGATTTTGTTTTTGTTTCTGAAAATAAATGTCAATTTCTATATCTCCAACAGGTGCTGCTTGTACTCTTCTATCCACTTAATTCTTGTGCGCACCCTTTCTTTTATGCCATCCTAACTAAGGCTTTCCACAGAGACATCCTGCTATTGTTGAGTCGCATGGGGCTGTGCCAAAAGAAAGCATATCTCTCCCGAAGGCATTTTCTCAGCATCAAGCCCCATATTTACGGAAAGACTTTGCCTGACATATAGTCCACAACATCCCAAAACATAAATAATCTGCTGGCTAAAATGCAATCCTGTAAAGGCAGTGCCCGTCACTGGCTGCGGCCTCAAGAACTTTTCCTCACCATTTATGTTGTTTGTATTTTGTTCTCTTCGATGGGTTGTTACTGTACTCTGTAACAAATGAAGGCACTCTGATTCTGATTGTGAGCATTTTTCCCTTTTATATGCAGTGACTCTATATTTCAATTTTGTATTTGTTCCTGCTGTGGTTATGATAAAACCTAAAAAAAATATGAACTTACTGCATTTCAAGCTTTTTGTCTTTGAATCTGTAAAATGGTGTTAACATGTTTTTGCAGAAGTAAAGTGTTTTGCAAACAGTCCTTTGCCCTTTTTCACTTTTTTTTCATGAAACAACCACAGCATGCAGGAAAAGATTTGAGATCAGGTACAGTTTGCTTGCTGCAGGGTGGGGGCCTGGGCAGCCTAATTGAGATGGAGAGTCACAATACCCAACCTACGCCTGGAGTTCAATGTGTGTCTGATTTTCTGGAGTTGCTAAGAATACCTCCTCATCCTCCCCAGGAGATACAAGCGCTTTTGTGCCATTTTTACCAGTGAGGTGGTGTTTACAGTCCAGGTGAGGGTGTCTGTGATGTGCACCTCCAACAATTTGGTGCTGCTGACCGCCTCTACAGCTGAGCTGTTGAGGAGCAGTGGAGGGGGGTTAGGCTGGTTCTTCCTGAAGTTAAAGATGATCTCCTTGGTCTTCTCCACATTCAGGATCAGGCTGTTATCTCTGCACCACCAGCTGCTCCACCTCCTCTCTGTAGTCCTGGTCGTTTTCGTCTCTGATGCGGCCCTCCCCCATAGTGTCATCTGTGAACTTCGCGATGTGATTGGTGGTGAACCTGGGAACAAAGTCGTGTGTCATCAGGGTAAACAGCCAGGGGCTCAGGATGCAGCCTTGAGGGGAGCCTTTGCTTAGGATGATGATATCAGAGGTGTTCTGTCCGACCCGGACTGACTGAGGTCTGTTGGTGAGGAAGTCTAGCAGCCAATAGCAGAGGGGTGTATTGAATCCCAGCTGTTCCAGTTTGCCCATCAGATGCTGTGAGATGATGATGTTGAAAGCTGAACTGAAGTCCAGGAACAGCATCTGACCTGGGTCTTATTGTCCTCAGGGTGTGCCAGGCTCAGGTGGAGAGCAGCAGATGGCGTCCTCAGTGGAGCGGTAGGCGAGCTGGAATGGGTCGAATGTTGGTGGCAGACTGGAGACGATGTGTTCTTTAACCAGCCTTTGGAAGCACTTCATCATGATGGGAGTCAGAGCGAAAGACCGGTAATGGAGGGAAAGGACCGGAATAATGGTGGCAGACTTGAAGCCTGTTGGCACTACGGATCGGCCAGCGAGATGTTAAAAATGTCTGTGAGGACACTTGTACATATCCTTGTAATATAAGGCATTGATACGCATGTACACAATTTTTTATAGCAAAATTTTACGAGATATCTTGTATAACAGGAGCAAAGATAAAAAGTCTTCCCCAAGTTGCTTGTCTTATAGAATAATAAGTCAAAGATAAACTGAATATTATCTCAGCTAAAGCATAGAATCGTAGCATTCAATTAGCTGATCATGTAGCTCAGAAACTGGACTGCTCCCCAATTCAATCAGTCCTGTCCAGACTGTACCCAGAGAAAATCCCCAGCTTCCTTTGGCGATTAAAACGGTACCATCTTCCCATTGATGAGGATCCTCATTTTGGAGGATATGGAGTATATTGAAACCCTCTGTGCTGGTTCATTTTTGGAGGTGCCAGCATACGGTGAGGATCTATCGCCAGCCAGCCCGGTGACATCTCCTGTATAAACTTCAGTAATGGTCGCTATCCCTCGGTGCCATCCTGGAGCTAAATAGGCGCAGGTTCTTCCTTCAGCCTCGGTTCTCTAGGTCATCAGTCTTAGGATCCAGGTAGTTTAGCAGTAATAGTTTCTAGGAGTTCCTCCGTGATGATCATCCTGTTTTCAGCTTCATCAAGTTGTGTAGTATTGTGGGCAACATTTTGCTTCACTTCTGTCATATTTTTCTCCTAAGCTATAAGGGACTTTTCAGCCACATGGTTATCGATCCTGTCCAGTTTGTTTCCAAATCCACCAAACCCTGAATGCAGCAACCGAAGTTCAGCTAGCACTACGCTAAGATCACAAATGCCATCAGTTCTAGCGGTCAGCTTTTTGTTTTGGTCTGTCATCGGAGTATCAGACTGAGCTGGTTTTCGAGAACCGCATTTTAGTGTGACAAAAACCACAGTCTGAGAATAGTCGGTTTAGACACTTTCAGAGTTATTTTACTTCTGATCCTGGGCTGTTTTTTAGAAGTTTTGAGCATTTTGAGCACAGAGCATCCACTTTTAGCTGCCATCTTGGTTCACGGTTCAACAGCGTTCCCTTAAGGGTAATTTTAATGCTAAAGCCAGGCATACACTATGCGATTTTTTTCAATTTTTGCACGCAGCTGCAGCTCACAATGCATGTTCAGCCCGACGCTCTGATGCAATCTACCTGCTCACACTGTCTAAAAAATACGTCAGACTCAGCTCTGCAGTGAGATGGTGCTACTCAGGCTTGTCTGTCCGGAACCCAAATGAGTAGAAGAAATATGAAGCTCAGTATAGTGAAATTTTGGCAATTTGTGCAATTTTGAGCTGAAAACCCTAAAAAGAAAAGGTGACGGCATATTTGGACAACGAAATGGCTGAGCAAACGTGGCTACTACGGTCTGTCAATTTTACAGAGAGAACTCCATTTCACCCGCACCCCCGCCATGCTTCTGTGTTTACATCTGAGAGTAAGAATAAATATAAGAATACTTGTTCACGCATGCCCACTGAGTGATCGGTCTGAAGAAAATCAAACATGTTCCCGACCTCACGATTCCTGATCGGGAGGTGGTCATGAGAGGCTGATCGTCCCTCGTTACCCCCTGTAGACTACACGACGCAAGTTAAGGCTGAAAGTCGGCCCGATTGAAGAATTCTCGCATGAATGGACAATCACCCAGAAAAGGGTAAAAAAAAATCGCACAGTGTAAGCTGGCTTAACATCAATTTATGGAACTGGGTCCTATGAAATACACTGGATTAGAAACATATCTTTAAACTTCAAACTGCACAGTTTCAGCAGTAAACTGGTTCCTAAAGCTCAATGAAGGACATTTAAGAGACACCTCTTTGCAATAGTTCCAAAAAAGGTCCAAAAACAAATAAACTGGACTTTAGTTATTCTATTTGAAAATGTTTGACTCTGAAGGGCTTTTTCAATGAAAAACTGGTAAGTGAGGAGTTCCAAGCTAAGATATTTTGCATATGACATTATCAGATTGAAATATACGTGCAGATTAAACTCTATTAGCTAGTCTAATTTGATTATTATCTCCAATTTGGCCAAAATCTAGTTGTGAAAAATGGGATCTTTTTGATATGGGTTTCTTTTGATCTACTATCAGTTGTAAATGCCTCAAAAATTCTGGATATAAGTTTTACCTTAGCTAACCGTCAGAAAAATCTCTTATATGTGGAGGGTTAACAGGTTGACTCATTAAGGGCATTTTCAGCCTTACACTGGAACATCAACTCCCAACATTTCCCACTAATGATCCTCATTATTATTATAATATTATTTATATTCTATTCTTGTTTCTCGTTTGGTTCTGGTATTTGAAAGGGTTAATAATCATAACATTTTTCATTTTTACATTTTTCTAACAGTATTTCTTAATAATAGTTCTTGCCATTACTGTGCAGAGATTTCAAGTAACAAATTAAAAATACTTTGTTAGCTTACTCAA